TTTGCTTACAGGTGCAAGAGAGTCAGCGCAGCCAGAAGTTTCCAAACAGATCATTTTTCATGACAATATAACCAATAATCCACGAAAGTAGAATTTGAAAGTAAATGTGGTGTGTGTGTGTGTGTGTGTGTGTTCCTTACCCAGTCCTTTCTGAGGTAAGAGTGAGCGGTACTCTGTTAGGTAGTGGATGTACGGTTTTTCTGTGCTGATCTCATAGTACCTGATATTCCCATCACCCTGAGAAGAGGCAGGAGAAGTCTTTGTAACCATAATATTCAAAGAGTGTTTGAACGTCTAGACGGTGTCTGGTTGCGTTGAAAGACCCACCTTTCCAGCAAGGTAGAGCATGTGTGTGTCAGGGTCGAAGAAAGGGAAGATGACTCCTGAGGAACCGTCCACGTTCTCCTCTAACAAAGGCACTGACATATCATCCTGCAAACACACACAAAGACAAACAACTTGTATCAAAAACAACACTTGGGCACAAGTAGCATGCAACAACCATCCCTCATATCAAAACACTCTATCATTTAAATCCACTTCTGCATAAGAGGCACTCTCTAGCGCTGAATTAAAAATACTCAGCGCTCAATCCCTAATCCGTGCTTCAGCCATAATCCTCCACCCACGATACACTCGCACACATCAAAACACACAAGTCTGCAACTTCCACAAAATAACAAACTAACAGGTGTGATCAGGGCCCTGGGCACTGACATAATCAAGAAGATAATAACTTCACTCCACTTTGACACAGGCTGAGTGAATTCTTTAGGGAAAACAGGGTGTGGTTTAACTTGTGTACTAATCTGACCACTAGGTGGCAGAGTTATGCACCAGACCTTATGGTGTGCAGGGATGTATTCTGCAATACTGTCATAAGCAGTGGTGAGGGGATATCCAGATCCTTTACTCAAGTAATAATACTGATAAAACCATGTGAAGCACTTTTATTTTATTTTTTATTATTATTTAAAGTAAAAGTGAATTTACTTTTGTACCTGAAACCAATAATTACTTGCTCTTTTTACGTATAGATGGAGCAAAACAGATGAACTGATAAGCTGCTAGACATCATTTCCCATAGGTTTTACGTCATGTATGTTTAATATTTAACTCCCCGAACCTTTTCTCAATGTTTGTCTTATTTATTTTATATGATATATTATTTCTTATACACTCTGTTGTGAATTTCTTCGTAACACCCAGATAATACTGAACCGACAATAATTAATACAAATGTAAAACAAAATGACACAATTCAACATGAACATCTCTCTAAAAGAACCTCAACCACACTGAACATTATCACCATCATGAAAAAGGAGGATTTGTGGCAGAACTGTTGTAGCTCGCTGTAACTCACAACTCACTGTTAATGTCTTTTTCATTCCATTACACTCTGACTCTGTTTTGCTTTTGCTCAGGGGTGTTAATGGTATAGAAATAGTGGTAAGGAAATAGAGCTGCCTGGAGCTGTGACCACTCTTATGTAATTAGGGGACAATTACTTAAATACATGATATTATTATTAATTCTCTGTTGTTGTGGGCTTGTGACTTGGGTCTCTATTTGTATATTTTGTTATTTTGCTCTTTGTGTGGATATCACTATTTGTAGTCTAAATTTTTTAAATCTTTAATCCAGACAAAAGGTCATAGCTTGTAAGTAGATATTCTATCAGAATAACCTTGCTGTAAAACTTCCTCTTACCTGATCCCACAGTGCTATCTGTCGTTCATTCCAGCGAGAAGTGCCTGATGTGAGGAGCATCTTCATGTTTCCCAGGATCAACACCTTACCGGCTTTGTGTGTCTTGCTGTTGGCTTCCTGCAAACACACAACAGGACACATTAAACACTAAGCATTTGTCAAGCACAGGATAGGACTTTTTTCTTAGTAATATGACAGGTGTAGACTTCCAAATGTCAATTATTTCACAATGATGAAACGTCTCCTATATGTCTGTCCATGTGAGCTTGTTTGGCAGGCAAAGGGTGTGAGAGCAGACCAGTGTTAAGAGTGTGACCCAGAGGTCTGTGGAGTTATGCCGTGGGCCAGTCCAGACTAGAGGTGTCAGTTTTGGCTGTGTGGTGCTGGATGAGTGCCCGAATGGCCCAACCGGGAGAGGAGAAACAGAACAGGGAACTCCCACTTATGTAAGGCCGTCATACCTGTTTCATGGATTTCAGATTTTATTGATCTCACTGAAAAAATAGATCTCTGGTGTAGATCATGTGGATTTCATATCAGCAGGAATTTTAAAGCTGTGATTGCAGATGCACAGAGAGTTTACAGGAAAAACACACAATTATTTTTGCTGCAAGTGCATCTAAGACCGTTCTCTGGGTAACAAGGAGTGAGGTGAAAAAATATAGGAAGTGTAAATGAGCTGTTGATAATGTGTCTCATACGCAACAAAGTATTTCAACTAGTGTTTAGTCGATTAGTGTTTGTTTAGTTTACAACAACATTACATATTAGTACATACTGAAATAACAACTATATAACCAGAAATCACTGCATTTCCTGGCATGTTTTTGCAGGATTGTCACCCTTGAAAGGGATCAAAACCACACACACACACACATGCTGAGCATTACCTGCAGTAGGTTCCCTGAGCGCGGCTCCATCAGCCGGACCTTCCTGTCCTTGCAGGTGGTGGCGAGGAGAGTGCAGTCTGTGTTGAAAGACATGGAGAGGACCACGTCTGAGTGGTGGCTGATGGTCCGTACAGGGTTCTTTATCACCTGCTCTAAACAGTCCAGGTTCCAGATCATTATCTGCAGGTGTGAAAGGGCAGAGGGTGCAGGTACAAACACACACAGTCAGTTTGATTGAAATTCAAATAGTGGTAAAGAAGAGTTTGACATTTTGGGAAATATGTTTATTTGTTCTCCCATTGAGCCTTTGAGGAGAAAGTCAAACTCTCACACTCATGTCTACATGGTAAATAGAAAGGTAAATATACAAAGTAAGGCTACACAGTGAGCAGCTGCTTAGATGGCATGCAAAAACAAATCTGACTTGTTGTGGTTTTATGACAAGTCTTTTGCTTTGAGGTTGCCAGGTAACCAACACAGAGTCCTGTTTCTAGTCTGGTCATTCTCTTGGAGACCAGGTGAAAAGCCAACCATCGAGGGCTGGAAATGCAATAATCACGCAAATGGAGGTCGCCACACAAATCTGAAGACAACCTTTACTTGAAGGATCTCATGGTGCTGCACTCAATCGTACACACCGAGTAAAGAAGCTTGAGGTAAAAGGTAAAATCCAGCATGCATGGCAAACTGTCAGACTTGTCAGAATTGATCGTCAGAAGACTTTTTGTTGATAGAGATTTTTGGGGCATTGTACATAATAATCAAGAAAAGTCAAAAGATTATATTCTATAAATGAACAACAACATCAGCAACAAGTAAAAAAAAAAAAAAATCATATGATATAAAATGTAATGCTCTGTGTGTCATGGGCATCTTAATTTATAAACATTACCATTACTTGTTGCTTTTTGCTTTTCATGTTTTAGAGTTGTATTGTTATTGATTTCTCCATGCATCAATCTGCTGTTTGTTTGTGCACAGGCACCGTTGCTGGTGTTCAACACTAATGTGCTTTAAGACAGGAAAGAATTGCTTGTGATGCATCATACAGTTACTCAATGCTACAATAACCAGAGATCTGTACTGTATGTAGCTGCAATCCATCTTCACTGCTAGGGTTGCATTGCATCACATGCCACAGCAAAAACTGACTTCCCTTCTTATCACAGAAACATTTAGCTAACTTCGTGCCCCGGTTAGTGTTTCTGTGTGTGCTGTCACCTTATAGTCGTAGCCTGTACTGAAGAGGATGTTGTTAGCAGTCGGGTGCCACTCGATGAGGCTCACTCTGCGGCTGTGACCCTGAAGCTCCTTCCATGGTACTGTAAGGTTCTTCAGCACACCGTGAGGAGGGATATCCCACACTTTCACCTGCACACACACACAAGACCAAATTAAAAAAACACACACAAAAACCCCAAATCAATCTCTGCACATAACACCTCAGCAGTTATATAAAGGAGCAGGTGTGGAAAAAATCCTGGGATGTACGGCCCACTGAATATGGAAATCAAATTACACAGCTCAGAGACACACTTTGTAAAAAATAATGTTAAGATGATGTGAAACCTGTTGACTCCCCTTTTCTCTTTCTGTCTACAGGGGTTTGTTCTGTGTGTCTCTGCCAGGTCAGAGCTGAGGAATGTGAGGAATGACTTCTAGTTCCTCTTAAGACTATACTGCAAAGGCAGTCGACTCATCCCCTTGCTGCTACATGCTCATCTTCCAGGGCAAATGATAACATGTCAATGAACTTCTTCAAAAATGTGCTGACAGTGTGTTTGTGCATATGTGTGTATGGGTGTGTGTGTGTGTGTGAGTGTGGACAAACCGTTGTGTCCTCTGAGGCAGAGGCGATGCAGTAGTCATTGAAGGGATTCCACTTGATGTCTAACACATTGCCTCTGTGGCCCGACACTCTGGGTTGGTGAGGGTCCAATTTACCCGTCTGATGGAGGACAACACAAAAATAAACAAAAGGAGCTGATTAGGCTTTAGTTATTACAATCATTATTTGCATTATTAGCATTACATGCATTACGTACTTTACAAAACACTACAATGTACATGCAGGCCTAAGGACATTTTGAGTGTTCATCAGTGTCAACAAGACATCCATCCATCCACTGGCTATGCTGCTTATCTGTGCAGGGCTGTGCGGGGGCTGGACCAATCCCAGCTGACCTAGGGCGAGGGCCAGGTACACTCTGGACAGGTCACCATCAGTCAATCACAGGGTCGACACATTGAGACAAGCAGCCTCAGTCACTTTCACACCTATGGGCACTTGAGAGTCCCCAGTCAATATATAATGTACAGTACTAGACTGTGCGAGGAGCTGGAAAACCCAGAGAGAACCCACACAGGACAAGGAGAACATGGAAACTCCACACAGAGAGGCCCAGGTCTGGGGATCAAACCCAGAACCTTACTGTGAGGCAACAGTGCTAACCACTGCACCAGTGTGCCACCCCTCACGTAGGTATATTACTGTATGTATAATTCTAAGAATACATAATAATGTTAGAGAATAAAGTCCAGTTCCCAGGTTGTTTTTTATTGCATTTGCTTGATACCTACCATATTTGACTGGTTTATTGATTAATAAAACACTAATATATCTAACTGGGTGTTTACTAGATGTGACTTTACTAGATGCCATTCAAAACATTCATTTACAAATACATTTCAGGAATTACGATTGATAGCCATTCATCCATGCATTCATACAGTGTACAATGTCTTCATTTCATAACAGCGGATATGAAACATCAAACAGGTTTTTGACCTTTGTTAAACTGGAACGTTTCTTGAAACAAAAATGTGTTTTCCCAAAGATCCTGGCTAAAATAGCAGCATAGTTATGGCAGGCAAAGCAGCATAGTACCAACGTACATAGAACGTAAGAGGTTAAGGAAAACTATACATTTGGAAGGGCTGCACTTGGACATTGGAGTCCTATGAAAGTTCATGTTGTTAAAATCGTTTAAGCCGACCAGTGTCTGTAATTTCAGAGTTTTTTTGGAGTTAAATCCAAGTGGACCCAGCCGCCCACATGAAAGCTCTCTGACTGTGCTCTGTACGTGACCGTGGTGTAGAACAGAGCAGAAAGTCCTGAGAGCGAAGGCTGCAGTGGTGACAATGTACAGAGGTTAAAGCAGAATTAACTGAGATTTTGGCCACTTAGCAGCAGCATAACAAGCTGTAAACACACCACTGACATATTCTCACCCAGAACGGTTGTTGTGGCAAACACGTTAGCAAACAGTCACCTAATGAAAGTCAGTCAAATATTCACTGCAGCCCACACTGTGCACTGTTTTTTCCACTAACTCCAAAGTGAACTCACTTTCTAGTGGATGAATGAGCTGCTGTGCGTCAGCAGCTAGTGGCTAACTTTGTCTGTCTGCTCTTTTTCGTGCCAGTAGTGAACAGTGAGTTTATCAGAGCATTGAACGTAGTAAAATGTAGCTGAAAGACACACACAAAAAAGTGGTACACTGATTTTGCCAGTCAAATCCTGCTACCTCAATTACCCACAATGCCATTTGACTGCTAGCACTTCAGATTCTTTTGCTAGCCATGGTTTTCGTAGCCTTTAGCTGCCATGCCGGAGCAGACATGTGGTACAGGCTGCAGAAGTCTGGTATTCACACATCTTTAACAGACAGATTTGGTTGTTTTTTTGTTGATTTGTTTTTTTATTTTTCAAACTTTGCATGCTGCCTCTTGTGACATAATTTGTGATAGTTTATCAGATTTTGTACCTCTTAGACCTCATTTTGCACAACTTTTTTCATTTCAAACCTGCTGATGGGCCCAGCATGCATTAGAAGCAATGGGATCCACAGTCAGGTGAGTTTTAAGCGATTAAGGGATGTTATTTTATTTTATTTAAACCTTTATTTTAACTTGTTGGTCACTGAGGTTTCCCTCAATGCAGCCGTAGGCTTTGTCCTTACTGTAGTTCCATGCCATGGGTTCAAATCTGTCCTGCTTACCGCTCTAAATTCACTATTCTATCATAATAAAAACAAAAAAACTAAAATAGTAAAATTCCTTTTTAAATAATTTTTTTTCATGCTTTTAAAACAACCAGATGTATCCAAGTAGGGGAAACAGGGAAGGTTCATCTGTGCGTGTTAGGTTAATTGTTGGCTCTCGCATACTTTTAATCCTCCATGGCATTAAAATGAAACAGACACAGATACAGACACTGTAATCTATGTTCTGTGATCCTTGATATCCTCTAGTTTAACAGTACCGCTCATTATCCAGTTTGTATTGCTCAACACACTTTTTTCAACTGACGCGCGCACACACACACACACACACACACACACACACACACACACACACACACACACACACACCTCTGGGCTACAGTACAGTGCAGGTAAGGTGTGTCTGGAACAAAGGAATGATGTAACCTTTGTATGTGCCTCCAGTGAACCCATCGCATTAAGTAGAACAGAGCTCTTCTGTTCTTATATTGTTATGTGTGTGTTAACTATGTTCTCCACAGAACTATAGCTTATCTGTAAGTGCACACACATAGGTGGGATGTGGAGGCGGTGGGATGTGGAGGCAGTGGGAGGAAGAGAGGGGGGAGTTCAGAAGTTTCACTTCTTCGAGACAGGAGGGGAAGAGGTGGTCAAAAGATGAGTTATGTCATTCCTAAGCTCATATGCAATTCTTGCCCGTGCCAGGAAGGTGGTGATAATTCACTGGGACGATTTAAAAGATGGAGACAGACGGAGAGAGGGAGAGCGGTGGGAGAGGTGTTCGGCTTGATGAATCACTTCGTGCCAAGGATATACAGCAGAACTGTAAATTTTACCTGCACACGAGTGGAGCAGCCAGGCTGAGTTTAGTCAAGAGATCAGTATTGTTACTGATAACACCGGTAGATGTGATAATATCCATAAATAATGTCTGGAAGAGTGTTGGATGAAACACTTTTGAGCAGATGCCTGTCAGGGAGATAAGATTAGAATAATGGTGGGGACCACATGTGATGTTTAGGCTGTGGTGAATGAGCTGCCAGGGGTTTCCTGGTATTTAGAGATTCTTGTGGCTCCACTGCTGCTGTGCTATTTATATTGTGAGAGCAGAGCTGTCTTTTCCAGGTGTGCTGTGTGTGCAGGAGCACAAAGAGGCCATGAAAGACTCTTTTTTCTCTTAGTCACTTCTGACTTAAACTGCCACCATGAAAACAGAGACAATTTTGTTTTTGAATTTCCTGAAGTCAGTTGAGTATTTACAGGATAGTTTATTCTCTACATGGGGTTTGAAATTGCTCAGGGAAAAGTTCTGATCTCAAATCACCCAATAAAAACAAAGATGGCACAATAACTCAGTAAGTCTGACACTGGTTTTACGTCAGTCATTTTCTGTTTTGAACTGAGGATTATTTTGTTTTGTTTGGTACAAACCACTCAATTCAATTCCATTTCATTTCATTGTAGCACCAAATCATAACATGCATTATCTCAAGGCAGTTGAGGTCAAGACTTTATTACTTTATTATCGAGAGAAACCCACAGAGAGCAAACACTTGGTGACAAGGGTGGAGGAAAAACAGGAAGAAACCTCAAACAGAGCTTTTTTCAAAATTATTGAAAAAAGATGCACCAATCTAAGATGTAATATTTTTGTGCCTAAACTTTCAAAAGCCTGTATAGCAACATCCATCTCATCTACTTTTGTCACCATGTGTGTAGCTATTTTCTCTGATGTGTTGATAGTTTGTTGTAAAATGTAAAATGTCATTAATTTCTAATGAGTTCCTCTGGATGGATGATTGTGAAAAAGTGAGGTATGTTTGAGGAAAGGGTACTATCTTATTCATAATCTGGCCTAAAAAAAAAACTCTGTCTACCGGACCAATGGATGTGACAAAACAGACACTGGTCTGCAATTTCAACTAAGAGGTGCAGACACTCACATGATGGATGGACAGGACCAGGAAGGCCCCACCTCCGGCACACTCAGTGATGACTGCCAGGAAACGTGGGTTGACAGCACAGAAGTTGTTGTCGTGAACGCTGCGTGTGATTGGCACGCCATCATAGCAGCTCTCCTTGGTGGCGGCCTTACCAAACACGTGGCGGAACTTGGAGCTGCGGTACTGAGGACGCCATGTCATCTGAGAGAGCACAGAGAGAGGGAGGGAGGGAGGAGAAGGAGAAGGAGAGGTCAGTCAAGGAGAGTCATCTATCTCACACAGTTACTGTGACAGGCCATTTTATAGGTGTTAGTACTCCTGCTACTTTCTCACATGCAAACACACCAAGTGACCAATTCTGTAAAACATCAGCAGCAGTCTCTCTGAACTGGCAAGACAAGACAGTCTTTTTTGAGCACACAAATTAAAAGGCCTTTACAATCATGAACACATACTTAAAACAGAAAAATAATAGGAAGATAATAAAGGAAAACAGCATTGTGGCTTTGCCATCTGCTTTGCGTTACATCCCTGTCATAAAGTGGCTTTTCATCCCCTGACTTGGATGATATTTACTGCAAATGTACTTGTCTTGCCTATTTTTCACACATGATGCAAATCTCCCACCAAAATAGACATAGAGAAAACCTGTTGATGACACACTGACATCATAACATTACATAAAACTGACACCTTTGCCTGTTTCTGGGCTGAATCTAAATAAGTCCCAGACATTAAAAAAAATATATATATATATTTTACCTAATCTAGCGGTTGAGTATGGAGACACTGACATTTTCTATAAGAAATAAACATAAAAAAATAAGTTAATGTATAATGTGAATGTGTATGATGTCAAGTAACCTGTAAACTTGAACACACACAACCACACATGCATACACTTTTCCACAGCAGGTCAACATAAACATTGTGTTCTCAACTTATGTTGCTGAGCTCCATCTTACACCAAAGTCACACTTCATCTTGTGGTGTTCCACAGGGCTTTATTTTAATCCCACTTTTATTCCCATCACATGGTAACAGTGTCAGTTTTGTTTTTTAAGATTCTAACTATTCTGCTTTTCTTGTGTTTCAGATTTATTAGAAAGTGGTGAAACAATCACTGAGCTTCTTGGCATCTGACAGTTACTGGTGGATGACTTATCACTTCATTTGGAAATAAATTTTACAATTTGCATCCAGACCAAACATACTTAATTAGTGTGATGGATTCATATGTGCATTATGATGGAAAAATCATTGAATAAGAAACATTAGTGATTTAGAGAGGTGGTGTAATGTGTAAACATGTCTGGTGAGCATCAAAGGTACCACAGAACAATAGTGACATGAGTGACAAGATTTGCACATCTAAAAATACATTTATTAGACACCATCTTGTGCTGCATGAATGTATGAAATGTATCCCACTAGTAAGGTGAGTGTGATATCTTAAGAGCTTCAGGAGGGAATTTCTTCCAATTTCACACAATTTCAACATTCACTTACCTCAAGGAGAACC